ATGTTTAATTCAATTTGAGTTCAAAGCCTAACCTTTTTTTTAAAAAAAAAAAAACTTCGACTATTTTGGAAGAGAACTTATGACCCACATCATGGTCATTTTAGTGTGTCCTAGGTCAAGTGATTTTAGTATATATAAATGAGGTAAACAAAATAATTCATTGATGTTTTAGGTTCAGTCTGTGGAATCATTTACTGTTGTATTCAAATATAATTTGAGACGAATCTTTTATTTAATGATTCATTATAATTGCCAAGTGTTCATTAACATTTGGACTGAAACACTGCTTTTGGATTATTATTACGAATTCATTCAACGGCACACTGGATTGTATCAATATAAGATAACAATAATGTTGGTACATGAACCTATTCAAGACTATTGGTATATCAGCACATTCAGCTCATGGGAATTATGTTTAGTAGGAAATTATTTCTTTAGCTGAAACATTAATTGGTCAGTCTTTTATGGGGTCACGTTTGCTCATGGTATTGATCAATTATTGTATAACCACAATGTTCCTCTTTTATTACTTCGCATTCTTTCTATTATAATCAGGGTGAAAGAGACAATCATTTGTTGTCGAAGAGAAACAAGATCCTAAGATTTATTGTTTGTTTTAAAAGGAAACTAGAGAAACTGAAGCCATGCAATTACCAGTTTCGTATTTTGTAAAAATGAAGTTCTTATTAGAAACTGGACAAGTGGACGGTGAGTTATCAAATTGTAGTTCCAGAGTCATACTGACATGAAATTGTTAGTCTAGTCTTTAACATATTCTTAACTGGTCATACAGGAGTCAACAGGAATTAACATAAGATCTTGAATTTTTCTTATTTGCTTAAAATTAAAAGTGATGTTACTGTTTACTGTATATTTTGTCACACTTGTTAAATGGCATGAACACTCAATCTGAAGATACCTTAAGGTCATCTGAAACTTATTCCGGCATTTGACAAACGATTTAGCAGAATAATGGTAAACTGTGTATGTCCCTTACCTAAAATAAAATCGTCATGCAACCATTACTTGTGGGCGATAATGTATGCATTCTCTTGATTATAATCACAATTCTTCTGAGAACTTTTAAAGATAAAACCATATTAATAACTCTGATGAATTTTTATATACTTGTTTGCCTTCGCAAATCTGTCCAATTTGATCATGTGTCAAATTTTATGTCTGGAATTTTCCGACAGTCTAAATCTTCTACCTATAACCCTGAAAGACTGGATGTTTAGAGGAAAAAATTATCAGACTTTGAAAACTGTGTTTCAGCTATATTTCTTTGATACATGAAAGGATTGTGATAACGGTGTTTATTTGCTGTTGTTTGCTGTTCTGGAATCAGCTTTCGTCTGTTTGAAGTAGGTTTTGAACATACTCTCCGTGACCATTGAAGTTATTAAAAAAGAACTTGCTTCAAATGAATATCGCAGGATTAATCTTCTTGAATCTGTGACTAATTTCAAATACAATTTGCTAAAGGATTGCGAAGTAGCAAACACCAATATTCACTCCTCGCAGGCAAAAATAATTTATGATAGATATACAAATGAATTTTCAGCCTGGTGAATCAATTCTGGCAATCTTGCCCGTACATCGAAATTCCCTTCGCGCTAAATGTTATGGTCCTTATGCAATTGAAAAGAAAGTAAATGACTTAAATTATATAATTAACACTCATTGGAGGAGAAATAGAAATATCTTTATCATATAAATATCATGAAGAAAATTTTTAGTAGGGATAACACAGATAATCAATCAGTTAATTTAGTGTACTTGTCCCACATAGAGAGCATGTAAACGATGGAATGCAATTTGAATGTATAGACTTTGATTTAACCAATATTCGAAATTCAGAAATATTAAACAATATTGATCAGAAACTTTAACATCAATTATCATAAGAAAAAGAGTGGCTAAGTGTGTGAACTATTTTGTGGATATAAGCAATTGTTTCCAGATGTTATAACATGGACAAATAAGATTTTCCATTTATAAGATTGTATATTCTACACCTGGGTAACAACATCGCTACAGAATGAATCCTCTTAAATAGAAATGCTTGATAACAAAATTCAAAATTTGGAGGAAAATAATTTTATAGACCAAATAAAAAGAAACTGGAGTTCACCGTGTATTCTTGTACCACAACCAGATAATGCTTTCCTCATGTGCACTGACTAGAATAGTGAACAGTGTGACCAAAACAGATTCATTTCCATTGCCAAGAATCGATGACCGCACGACAAAATTAGAAATGCAACAGTGATATCAAAGTTGACCTTTTTGAAAGGATTTTGGAATATTTCATTCATAGAAAGAGCAAAGGTATTTTCTGCATTTGCAAATCCAGATGAACTTTATGAATAGAAAGTTATGCCGTTTATATACGAAACATTTCAGCGTTATTTGAACAAGATAACATCTAATCTAGGTAATTGTTATATACGTCATCATTACAGCCATGCCTGGAAATATCACTTTAAAACCTTTCGTAAATTTTTGTATCAACTCAGTGATGCAAATTTGACAATTAATTAGTGGTAATGGAAGTTTTTCCGTGCTTATGCTACATTTTTAGGATATATTGTGGGATACGATGAAGATAAACCTGCAGAACTTGATGTTAATGCCATCTCTGATACGAATTTTGTATATAGCTGGATATTAGCGGAAGGTTTTCTCCAATTATCCATTATTGCTGAACCTCTGACAAACATATTTTGTGCAGGGATGCAAGTTCATTGGTCTGACAATATCTGGTGGCTTTTGATAAATTGAAGGTCATACTTAAGTGTACATCAGTTATTTCAGCTCCAAAATTCAGTCAATTATTTAAAATGTCTGTTGATACAAGTGATGGAGGGACATGTGGAATATTATTTCATCAAGAGAAAAAATGGCGTGGATCATTTTTGTTTAAGAAAATTCCTAAAGCATAACTAGGGGAAATTACTTCACTATCCGAAAGAATGTTTGGCTTTGATATTCATTGGTCACAGTCCATTAGTTCCATTAACTAATTAATAAACAAAATCAGACATTGTTAATAAGGAATTTCATGTTGCAGGTACATTAATAGAAAAAATATAATTTTCTTCCAGATACACTTTCACGATGTATATAAGTACTATAATTGCCTTATTTATGTTTTGTCATTGATAAGTCATCTTTATGCAGTTTTAGTTATTGTAGAATTATATATATATATATATATATATATATATATATATATATATATATATATATATATATATATATATATATATATATATATATTAGACAAACTGTATTAAAGAAAGCTTTATTTTATAAATCTTTTCTTTTCTTTATGAGCGGAGGCGTTATGTATATTTAATTTAATTTACTGTTGTCCTGATTGTGAGGAGAAAGCTATGAGTGAATAGTTACATAATATATTATGCAAGGAGTGTGCCAGGTATGAATAGTTACATAATTTTATATGCAAGTAGTATGCCGGTGTGAATGGTTATATATTAAACGACTGTCATGTGTATTTTATTTATATCGTGTTCCTGTCTTTTGTAATGATTACGAGGAGTATGCCAGGATTGAATAGTTACATAATAGATTATGCAAAGTGTTTGTCAGGTGTGAATAGTTGCATAATAGATTATGTAAAGTGTGTGTCAGGTGTGAATAGTTACATAATAAAATATGCAAGGTGTGTGTCAGGTTTGAATAGTTGCAAAATAGAATATGCAAGGAGTATGCCAGGTGTAAATAGTTACATAACAAACAATTGTTATTTATATTTAATTTATATTGTATACCTGACTACTATCATGATATAATGTTGGGTGTATTTTATCTTTGCCACACTTCTAAAAGGTAAACAACAGATTTATTTGAATTTCAATTCAAGACCTGACCTATTTTATGAGTTACTTTATTTGTTTCCATTTGCAATGATCTGCTTTCCAAAACATTTTGTTGAGTCAAAAGTCGATTGTCACTTTAAATACAAAGAGATTTTGTAAACAATTATTCATGCCTGTGTTACAACCAGTCTGTGGAATCACTTGTAGTTGTGCTTAGATATAAAATGAGATTAAGTATTCACTTAAATTATTCCTTGGAATTACAACGTTCTCGTTTACCGACTAAAGCATTACTTACGATTTATGGAAAACACTTTTAAAGACATTTTCGATTTGATTGTGACGCATCTAGGCATTAGAATTCATTCGGAACATTCTCTATGTTTGGGCGTTTCCTATGATATTTAGGATAATTTAGGGTTTAATTCACAACAATTTCACTTTGTAATTTAGAGAAAGAAATTATTTATTGATCTTATTAAAATTGTTGGTTTCACTTTCTTTCTATTGCATAGTTTAGAGTCGTAACATTATGCGAGAAGTAAGCCTATTCAAAATAGGTACATAATTAGTTTTTGTGTAAGCAACCCAAGTGTGAACGTTAGATTATATGCTTTGTGAGGAGTAAACCAGGTGCGTTTACTGGCATATAAGGTTTTGCGATGAGTAAGCCAGATATAAATAGTTGGATAATCGACTTTGCGAGGAGTAAGCCAGGTGTGAATAGTGACAAAATGAGCTTTGTGATGAGTAAACTAGTGTTTATTTTCATAATAGGTTTTTGCGATTAGTAAGCCAGGTGTGAATAGTTACATAACAAGCTTTACGAGGTTAAGCCAGGTGTTGATAGCTGCATAATAGGCTTTGCGAAGAGTTAGCCAGATGTAAATAGTTACATCATAGAATTTATGAGGAGAAAGTCAAGCGTGAATAGTTTCATAATATAAACATGACTGTGTGAAGGTGTCTAACACAAAACAAAATTATTGGACATTAGTAAATGGGATCCAAAATAATTCAAACCCTGCTGAAATGACTGAGCTCAGTTTTAAGTCTTTCATATTTTTTGATATAATCATATTACATCGTCAAATTTTAATGAAGCTATGCAAAAATAATTTTAGTTTAAATCTGCATTGCATCAATTAACCTGGCGCTCCGGTGGCCTAAGTAGTTAGAGCGCTCGCCTCGTGCGAGTGAGATCGCGGGTTCGATCCCCGGCTGTGTCAAAGCAAAAGACATAAAAATGGTACTAGCAATTAAGCAATTAAGCGATTAGTGTTAGTGCTGGTCGGATAATGTGATTGGGTGGAACATGATGCTACATGTCTGCAGCATGACGCCCCAGTTATATACATATATATATAACTGCCACACTGCAGCCATCGCAGTGATAAGACTCGTATTGTTAAAGTTAAGTTTAAAAAAAAAACAAAATCATGCGGGCACGCACTCTCACACACAGAAAACACAAAACAACACACACACACACACACACACACACACACACACACACACTAAAGTATTATACACATTAAATCCACAACCTGCCTCTGAAATACACAATTAAGTTCTAACTGAATATATTTTATCATGACACAATTATCTCCTAACTGAACATACTTTATCATGATACATGTGCATATTTAAGTGAAGATAATTAATCATAATACAATTATGAACTGAATATACTTTATCATGCATGTGTCTACTAAGCCATGACACATTTCATGACACAAGTATACATTAAATAAGGATATATTATAATGACAGAAGTGTCTACTAATTGACGAGACATTGTCATGACATCTTGATATTGCCTGACATTGATTAACTTCAGTAAAGAGTACTTACAAAGATTCGAAAAGCCAATTATCTGAATTTTATTGAAACGCGTTCCTATTTTTCTGATCCAATTATCGCTTAATTGCACGACCTTCTATCGCAGCAATAACAAATTTTACCAATGGAGTGAAACATATTCCAAAACTTTTAAACGTAACACACAGAGACTAGTCCATTATAATTAGGTGGGTGGAATCAATTTACTACACATTGCAATAAAAGTGATATTAGAGATGACTTACCTTGCTTATTTTAATCTTCAAGTAATCGACCTTTATAACATCTTAGATCAGTTTGGACTTTACTTTAAACGACGAAACCTATTGAAGATACGAGAATTATTTCAGATTAAGCAAACATTTCTGTTAGGCAAACGTTTCGAATTCATCCAAATTATAACTGAAAAATTGGGCTAGAAATTGATGGAAATGGGTATGTTGGATTCTGTCTTTCATTAATTTATACATAACAATGTTCCACTTGAATATTGTTTTGCTGACGTTTCTACATATAAAATCAAGCTTAACAGCAAGCGGGTAAATACAGTACTCTACAAAAGATATGCTGCATTCTGCAGCAACTGATCTTGATCTGTGCAACTTGTTAGGAGTAATCAGTAGGAAAAAAAAACGTAAGTTAAATAAGTCATATGTAAATTTGTATATTGACTTGATTAAAATAATTCTTATTAACGAAAACGTCGTAAGAAAAAGATAATAAATAATAAATTCATGAATCTATGCAAAGTGTGTTTTTTTTGTGGCGACTATCGCTTTGGTATCGTTTTAGCAAACAAACGTTATAATTTCTCTGACTCTGCGTTCCTTAACTGTTTCATTACGTGAAAGAATTTTGTATAGCCTGAGAAACAAAGGCCTGAAAAAGCAAGCGCTTTTCCGATGGCGTCGGCGTTAAGCGCAGTTGTTGACACTGTTACAGGTATAGTCATGAACCGCAATCAGTATACTCATGTTTGAGATAAGACTCATTTGAGGCAATGGAAGATCACAGTGACCCACATTTCATGCTTCATTGATTAGATTTTGTTTATGGATTTCGATGTTTTTTCTAACTCTATTGTATGTTAAAACCCTAACGCCCTTACGTTTAAAAAGTCGTATATGCCAATTCATCTGAATGTATTAGTCTTGTATATCGTTGGGTTCCATTAAAACCTGATAATATTGACATTTCATCACAGTATCTTACAAACTGATAATTTCCACAATTATCAATAAACTTTAGAAAGTTGGTTACAATAACCCATTTTTGTGCACGAGACTTCTTAATCCAAAGATGCACTCTCAGTGCACGTTTGGTGGCAACAGATGGAAATTTACTGAAGCAAGAACATATAACATCGTTTGAAGGTGTAGTGATTAAACCCGAGACTGTAGACTATAGCGATATAGTTTTGGTGGGTGATACATTTTCGTCTATGGCAGTAGACTACAGTGATTTAGTTTTGCTTTGTGTGATACATTTTCTTCCCGAGTAGTAGACTACCATAATATAGTTTTGGTGCGTGCTACATTTTAGTCTCAGTGAGTGCCTTCAGTAGGCCCAGTCCGCGGATGTGCGGAGCTCAATGCAGCATGCGACGAGCGCGGAGACCCAAGCAAAAATATTGCATTGCAGAGAAGAGAGGAGCCCGAGGTGGTTGCCTCGTTCACTTTGCCCTAGGGCCAGACCTGGCCTTTAGTACACTAAGTTGGTTGGTGGAAATAGGTGAAAAGATGTTGGAAGTAGAGTTCGGACATGGATTCGGGAGATTTTTAAGAAAAAAATAATCTTTAAATTTTAGTTAAGCCACATAATTGCAATATAGGAGTGACAGCCATACACAATGGTTGAAGTAAATAATATAAAGCCTGTTTCTCAAAGCGCTAGTATGACCTCATCCCCACCACAATATTTATATAAATAGATATAACACATCTAGGCCATGTTCCCAACAGCAGTTAAAATAATTGGTATTTTAATAGTTTCCAATTTTAACATGTAACTTCCGGTTTTTAAAACAATATTTCTAAACTGCTATTATATTGTTATCTAGATAATAGCATTATCTACTCAGGGTAAAAGTGGCGACCTCTACATTGCAGAGTTTGTGTTCATAGAATACATTCGGCAAAACTGTTGGTTTGACTATAACGGGTATATAGATCTCTCTCTTTTGGATGTTTAGTATGATCATATACACAGGGATAAAAGTTGGTTTAAGATGTCTAAAGCAACCATTAAAATTCTAACCTCCAACTAGCTTCGTCTGATAGCGTTATCGAAAGCAATCAATTAATTAACGAACACAATACCGCTTTCGAAATTACACTTAACATTTCATAGGTCATTTGATAATGTTTCAATGGAAATTTCAACATTTTCGCCGGCCTTCAACATCGGGTATGTTATCAATCTCCTATTCAAGACATTAATAATTTCAATTATAAACTGAGTGATTGTGGTAAAAGACGGCGTTGTTTCACTTTAGGTAGTTTCAGAAACCCCTTGGTTTGAGGCTGTGTTGCCATATGGACTACCATGTTCCTTTCAACACGGAAGGTAGCAATTCTTAAACACCTGTATTAAGGCATTAATTACTTTGATAATGTGTTTCTTTTAATTGGATTTTACTCCAGTACGGGTCTGAAAGAAATTCAAAGGACGAGACGTTTTGTCATCGCTACCTTTCCTCAAAACACGTCAAGTCGAAACCATAACGTGATCACTGTAGTTAAAAAAGAATAGAACAATATCAGACAAATTTCCAGCTGTTACAGAAAATAATAACTGGTTTTGATCCTGTGATAAACAGTGTTTCGCTATTAATATTCATATATTACGAAAACGAGGCTAAGCTTGGCAAATCGGCAAACAAATCATGCAGTTATTCACACCAGTCACAACAGCGTATTGAATTAACCAGTACTCAAACTAACACGAAAAAAGAGAACAATGAAACAATATACATGGTGGTGAGGTAGCTTAGTTAATAAAACCGATTTTCATCTTGTATTCAATTGATTTATATTTATCATGTTACTCAAAAGATTTATAATAATGTTCTTATCTGAGACTGTACGTAAGTGCAGTAAATGTTCACGACACTGATATTATTTATATTTCGTGAATCTTTGAGCGCATGTTTCATAAATTTTCCTGAGGTTTATATAGATCAACATGTGCTAAATGTGCTAACTTCGATAACCGTGAGGAGATGATGATGATGATGGTAATGATGATGATGTCCTTCTTTTCTATTCTTTATGGATTCTAGTATTTCTACTAAACAATGGGACGCAACAATATACGACGCGGTTTTGCTTCTGGACGTGTTTGGCGGTTTTCATTGGTGATACAATTGATATAACTTAGCCTTGTTATCGACCTAACGACCTGAGGGTCATGTAAATACATTAATAAAGGAAGGGTCTTTAGTGTCTCCTTTATTTTCTTTTCTTACATGAATATCAGCGTAAACTTTATCTTAAGACCCCAACAATTAACCTTAAAACGTCTAAACAGAACCAAAAATTAACTTTCGTTGACAATCTTAGGTATACATACTTTGGACCTACTTGTACATTTAGCACATGTTAAATGATGACTTCTTTATTTGGTATAAGGCATAAAAACAACGAATATTATTTATGAAAATGTTGTGACCAGTCATAGTATCACCTGTCAGTTAAGTGAAATCTACGACGGAATAGTAGTTTATCTATCTCCAAGTAAACATGGATGCATATTACAGGTAAAATACATAGCTAATGGCATATTGCAAGTAAAATACATAGCTAATGGCATATTGCAAGTAAAATAAATGGCTAATGGCATATTACAAATTAATGGCATGCCTAATGGCATATTACAAGTAAAATTCATGGCTAATTGCATATAAAAAGTAAAACGTGTAGCTATTGTTATATTACATAAAAATTAATTTCTTATGGTTTATTACAAATAAAACGCATAATTATTGGCATATCACAAATAAAATATTTTGCTCATGATATGCTGTAAATTAAATACATAGCTAATAGCATATTACAAATAAAATACATGTCTAATGGCATATTACAAATAAAATACATGACCAAGGCCATACTATAAGTAAAATACATGGTTAATGGCACAAGTAAAATACATGGCTAATGGCATACTACAAGTAAAATACATGGCTAATGGCATATAGCAAGTAAAATACATAGCTAATGCAATATTACATGTAAAATACATAGTTTATGACATATAAGTAAATATAAGGCTTATGGCACACTGGTAAACTACATTGCTAATCGCATATTACAAGTAAAATATATGGTTATTGGCACACTACAAAGAAAATACATGGCTAATGGCATAAAAAAGTAAAATACAAAGC